CACCCCAAAGCATACTTGATCCATATATCGAGCCTTATCACATCTTGTAAGTCGATTGCTTCATGCATCGCCATCAACCTTACCCAACACTAATTAGGTCCTCCTTTCAAATCATTTCAAGCTCTTAAAACACTTCGAGCGCAACCTCAATCAACATCGAGTATTTTATCTAAATAAAATTAAATCATTTAATCATACTTATACCTTATTTCATTAAAGATGAAAAGGGAGATGGTCTCGAGCCTTCGATTCTTGTTCTCGGTTGTTTAGGTACGAGTAGTCTTACTTACTAGTTAAACAATTGTTGTCTCTAAAAACTTCTAATCCAATTATATTCAAATCATTTTCACAATTACTTAAACGAAAATAAGTGGTATAGAGCCTTCTATTCTCTTCTCGAGTGCTTGGATACGAGGAGCCTTCTTTGGCAAATCAAGTATTCGTCGTTCATTAATACACTTCACCCATAATTAAACATTATTTCGTTAAAAGATGAAAAGGGAGATGGTCTTGAGCCTTCAATTTTTCTCCTCGACTGTTTGGGTACGAGTAGTCTTACTTACTAGTCAAACAATTGACATCTCTAAAACAAACCAACAAGTAGTAGTCCTACGAACTATAAACGCTCTGATTCTTTATTTCACAATGAAGATACGTAGGCACAAGGGCCTAAATCCTTGGTGAGCACCCTAATAAAAAAAATCATTTCCCCTTAGAAAATAAATCCCCTTTCGCGTTATTAACTTAGAAGAAAATAATTAGCATGAGTTAACATTCAATCACAAAATAGGCTAAGAGGTTCTCGTTGAGTACAACAAATGTGAGGGGTGCTAATACCTTTCCCTTGCGTAATTGACTCCCGAATCTGAATTTGGTTGCGATGACCATTTTCTTTTCCTAAAGGTTTTATTGATATTTTTCTATTCTTTCATTGGAATAAATAAAGTTTGGTGGCGACTTTGTTCGAACTAAATTTTTTCCGCGTCTATCACGAATGATCGTATTTTTTGAGGTATGACAATTATGTATTTATTATATGTGAAACCATTTATGCAGGTCAATGTGTCAAAAACATTGAAATTATTCATTTTTTAGAAATTCTGGTTGCATATTGGAAATTTAGAATGTCTGAAATTTCTGGTATACCAGAAGTTTTAAATTTCCAGTAGTATTGGTCATTTTACGTAATTATTATTTTTTCGGTATAACTTCACTGGAAATTTTGAAATTTCCGATATGTGTCTCACATGCACGTTCCACCACGGTAAATATTTGAAAATTTTCCGTATAAACACGAAATTTTCGGTATTCAATTGGAAATTTTATAATTTTCAAAACCTTTTAAAGAGGAAAAAAATAAAATTTTGCCATAATTGGAGGGTGTCGGGTATAAGTGTGTATGTATGGTGGGGGAGGGGGGGGGGGTGTTTAGAAGGTTAGTTCATGCTTAAAAAAATTAACAAACATAAAACCATCGTCATGCTTACTAAAAATAATTTGTTTTTTATCATTATGAATATCTAAGATATGAAATGTCTACCTTTAGTTCCTATTGTTGTTGTCATCGTAGTATCTGATATGTATTGAATATTATTAGAAAAGTCTTGGTTTACATAGATTATAGATAAGATCTAATAAGAGTTTGTATAAAGTAGAGGTGGCAAAACGGGTCGTGGCCCACCAGGCCGGTCCGCGCACTCGCCAAAAAATGGCGGGTTGGATTGGAATTTTGGGTCCGCCGTCTACCAAAGTCCGCTCCGCTAAAGACCGCCATCCATCAAAACCTGCCGTCCGCGAAAGCCCTCTGCACCTATTCGTTAAACTTGTTTCACCTTAAACCAGCAATTTTTTTTGTTAATTCTAATAATTCTAATTCTTGATGGTTTTATTTTATACATTTATTTGAGAATATATGCAATATTTTTTGAAGTAAAATTTGTCAAAAAGATACTTTATAAAAATTATTTTAAAAAATAAGTGAAAAATCTAATTGAAATGTAAACACAAGCCTATTAATCTATTAAAAAAAATTAAAAAATTAGTAAATAAAGTAGGAGGGTAAGCCCGCCTCCCGCCAACCCACCACCTTTGCGGAGCGAACTAGATTTTTATGTCCATTTCCACATGACGGACTTGTCCACCCCGCTTTTTTTTAGCGGGCTTAAGGTGGGGTGGGACAGGGCGGTACTGCCGACCTGTTTTGTCACCCTTAGTATAAAGTAATACCTTATTATGTCCAATAATAAAATCTTAATTTGGAGTCAGAGTCAATCAATGTTGTTTTCCTTAAATCTTCATGATTCTTTCTGTTCTTCTCTATAGAGAAATGGTTTTGATTGAAGAGTCTGATGGTTCTTATGTTAAAGCTCAGAGTAATGAGCCCTCTAAACCTCAACAAACTAGTAATGTTATTTAAATCTTAATGATTCTTTCTATTAAGATTTCTATTAGAGAATTTCTTTTTTCACCCTATATATTTATAGAATATTATTTGAAAATTTAAAAATATTTTCTGATTTCGAAGATATATCTCCGGACACACTTTAATACACACATTTCATTTGGTTTTGAGTCACACCTTAATTTTATAAATAAATTTATTTTGAAAATATATTTCCAAAAATTTTAAAAAAAGATAGAGGGTAACATGGCAACTTTACTAAGGGAAACATAAATGGCTTAGCAACAGGAACACAGTAAAGCTTAAAACTCTATAAGCCTTTATATACAATGAAGTTAAAAACCCCTTCCATAAATGAATTGAATGAAATTGTGAAGTTGAAAACCTCATTTGTTGGGTCCTGGTCTCACCAAAGCAGGTATGTCTTTTATAATTTTTGGGTTTTGGATTGTTAGCATTTGTACATTGCAAGAAAATTGTGATTTGATACCTTTCTATTATTATTACTGTCATCCATTTTGCATTACTCACATTTTATTTATATTGGCCACTTACTTACTTTTTGTTTATCTTTCATGTGCTGAGTACTATGTTTATAGATTATTTTTAAATTGCTTACTGTGTTTAGTTCATACCCTATCCCTCTTTTGAATTTTAAAAATAATAGGTTTATTTCAAAAAAACTACCATAACGTGTTCCTTTTGAATTTCAATTGTTGCATTGGCTAATAGAGTTGTAAGCTTACTCCGTTCCTATTGCTAAGCCATTTATGTCTCCCGTCATGCTACTATATGTAGACCTGTTTTTTTAGTTTGTGAAAATATATTTTTGAAAATTTATTAGAAATATATTTTTGGAATAAATTTATTTATAAAATTGAAGTGTGATTCAAAAACGAATAAAATATATGTATTAGAGTGCATTTAGAAATATATTTCTGAAACCGGACACATTTAAAAACATATAGGGTGGAAAAATAAATCATCTTCTACTAAAGGTTGTCTTCATGATTTTGGTTTTTTCTCATGGACTTTTTACATTCTTACTAGGACTGACAATGAACTGGACTAATTCGAACATGTTTGAAATTCGATTTAACAAATAAATCGTTAAACTAAATTTATGAATCAAATAAGTTGAATATGAGAAAAAAAAAATTAACTTTATTAACTAAATAAGTTAAAGTTGAACTATATATAAGAAGAGTTTTATTCACTCCAGATTTAAATCCTCTATTTTTTTTAATCAAATCATTGATCATTTATATTTTTAAGTGAACATAATATTTTTTAAAATAGTTATACAAATAAAATCAACATCACATAAAAAAAATTATATAAAATGATAAAATATTAAAATTATATATTAAATAAAATAATTAGATCAAAATTATATTTTGTTGCATCAGAAAAGTTTGTTTCTTCGAAAATTTGTTTCTTTGACTTCCTATCTCAGAATCTGCTATTGCATTGTAGAATACACACATCAAGATTTAGTATCCATTTCTTCTGGATCTTGTAGAGAAGAAGAACGAAAAGTGTGATAGTTGGAAAAACGGAGAGGTCTCGGGTCAAAGCCACTGCTATAAATAGAAGCCAATTCGAAAAGAAAAGTTTCAGATAATACATGTTTTCCGCATAAGAGGGTAGTTCTTGACGATGTCACTAACCTTTTCCAAGTTAAGAAAATAAAGTTGACTAAGTCTGCTCAACTCTATGTTTCAACAGATGTTCCATCGGTTTCTTTGGACCTACCACAATTTCAAACTGACTCGAAAGATAAGAGTTTGCAAGAATTATGGGTTAAATTAGAAGAAGACCTGTGCTGAGTCAATTTGGAAGATAATCCACCTTTATTCGCTCCGCTTCAACTATCTACCCATTGCAAAAAGATGCCACCATTATTATAAAAATATCCAATAACAATTTTTACATTTTGCTTTCAAAAGGGGTACTTAGGTAATCAACATATTCATATATTTACACTTGCTAAGAGCTTGGTTCTCATCCACCTGTCAGTTAACCATTGGTCCCAAACCTTTTTCCATTTTCCCCTCTCTTCTCACATTATTCAGACTTCTCTATATCTTTCCTTCTTCTAATATTTCTCTCATTTCTCCACAAATCATATTTCACTTTTCTCCATTTTCTCCACACTTCATACTTCAAAACATCATCATCTCCCTCGTATGTATTTCTTGCAAGCTAAAAATAAGAAGGTACGTGCTCCTACTTTCATCGCCTCTCCCTGCACATCATAGTTCAACCATTGTTTTATTTTTAGTTTTTCTGATTTTCTATTTCACAAACCACGAGTCTGGTTTTTTTGTTTCACAAACCATAGTTCAACCATTATTTTTCTGGGTTTACAATGACTGTGGGTTTGATTATTATGATGTTGTTTTGAATCTGTTTTGAATCCGTTTTTCTGGGTTTTGAGATGAATGTTGCTTTGTGTTCATCTTTTTTTCCGATAAGAAAGCTACAAGTTTTGCTAACAATTTCTGTACATTTGGTTATTGTTATTCATCTCTGAAAACACATCTGAAAACCATGTATGTTATGAACTTATATTGTAGTTGTTACTTTTCAGATCACGATGTCTAGAGCACCTATTATGATTGCTGATTTGAAGCTAGGAAACAATGTATGGAAGCTCGCCATCCATATTGTTGATCTATGGACTGTAACCGAGCGTAATGGACAACAACATTTTGAATGTGTTATCCAAGATAGCAAGGTATGCATTATTGCTGTAAATATGTTATCTAACTTTTACATAACTTAAAATATGTACTAACTATTCGTTTGATTTATAGTGTGATAAAATACACGTCGTTACCCGCAACAGAGATTTTGATTTGTGGAAACAGAGGTTACAAGAACATATGACTTATATGGTTTATAATGGTGATCCATTAAATAACAATATTCCTTTGAAAATCTGTGAAAATCCATTGAAGCTTTTTTTCAATAGTGGGACCACTATAACCATGGTAGATTTACCAGAAATACCACCCCATCAATTTCATTTCAAACCCGTCGTCGATTTTTTACACGAAGATTTCCAAGTCAACCGCTTATATGATATTTAAAGTTTTCTTAAACATCATTTGCATTATTACATGTTTGTGAACTAATAAACTAACCATTTGACCTTACTATCAAACAGATGTCATTGGTGTACTTCACCAAGTAGTCAGGTCTCAAGTTGCAGGAGGCGGAAAGAAGGCTTGTGCCAACATTACCTTATCTGATAAAATGTATATCACATTATAACTTCTTTATTATTAGTGGTTCTTCATTATAACTTCTATATATATATATATATATATATATATATATATATATATATATATATATATATATATATATATATATATATATATATATATATATATATATATATATATATATATATATATATATATATATATATATATATATATATATATATATATATATATATATATATATATATATATATATATATATATATATATATATATATATATATCACATTATAACTTTTTTCTCTCTTTATTATTAGTGGTTCTGAAATAGATATTACACTTTGAGAATCATATGCCAACCAATTCATGGCATACTCGACTGAGCATACCGCACATGGCCAGACTATAATAATAATTACTCATGCTATGTGCCAGAAAAGTTCAAGTAATGCTTGAAAATGTTATTTCACTCTTATTCCTTTCATTTGTGATTGGCTTCTTATACTACTCTTACTGTTATGCCACTGTTATTTTTTTGCAGCCACCGGAAAATGGTACATCTCAAATGCTTGGAACGGATCCAAATTGCTTCTTGATTTTGTTCATCCACAAGTCACAACATTCAAATCCAAGTAAGGAAATATTATTCAATGTGATAAATAGTCAAATCCCATATATGTACTCCACTGTATATAATGTTTCAATTTTATTTAGGTTGGGAGACAAGGCGAGCTCACAAACTCTTTCACAACCACTCTCCCAACCTTCTACATCACAAGGGTCGTTTGTGGACCGATCTTTCTCCTACACCAATGATGTCAAAACCATTGCTGACATCATGATTCTTCAAGATGTAAGCGTATTAGTTCCTATGCTCCAGTTTTTATCACGATGCAACATAACCATTTTTATGATGTTTCCTTCATTTTTACTCAATTGCAAGTTTCCAATAATATAACATGCCATGTTTATTTACAGCAATCTTTTTGTAACACTTTTGGAACCACAAAGAGGTTCAAGTCAAGTAGGTATGGTTGGTGCTATGAGCAGTGTCCAGCATGTAACAGAACTAATAAATTTTCTGGGCAGCCATTCATATGCACATGTTGTGAAAATGCACCTCCACCACTCACCAAGTAAGCACATCTTTTTTAGTTACTATATAAATTATCTAAGAACCTTATTTAAACATGTTGGTTAATTTAATTATATTTCAACCATTTCCTCAGGTATAAAATCGAAATCGAGGTCGAAAATGATTACACGACGGGTTGTTTTGTGTTTTGGACAAGGAGTGTATCCAATATGTTGGAATGGCAGCACATGCTTTAAGAGAAATCATGAAAAAGGTGCATAAATATTATGTACTTGTATGTCTACTTGATACATTCAACGTATATACTGTATGTTGCTCTTATATAAGCTCTGATATATGAAATCATGTGATTGACTATGAGATATTAAACACCTGTAGGATAATATCAGTAATAAATAGTTCACACTCATTTCATATAAAACCGGTGAAAGCTCTGTCTAGACTTTAAAAAGTTGCTACAAGATACATACATGTATCAATCACTTACTGAAAAAACAAGATGAAAACACTCAGTGTTAGACAAGATACCTCTCTGGTGTAAAATGTCTGCTGTGTTGGATTCAAACTCTAATGCCTTAGCCAAGTCTTCCATAGCCTGACATAGGAAACTGTGGTCAGTGTCACATTTATGGGTTGCTACTTGTGTAAGAAAATCATAATATACAATCAGAAGTGACTCAAGTAAGGCCTTACAAGAAGTGCCAAAAAAACTCAATCATTCATAGTGCATGGTGCAATAACATGAATATAAACCACACAACTCTGGACAACCACATTAGTTTAGTCTAGACTGAAATAAGAAGAGATTTCTCCATGAATATATAATATCATAGATCACTGTACCTAAGTTTTCTCCATAAAGAAGAAAACTAATGTGGTATTAGTTGTGCTCTTAGTTAGCTTCACATTTTCTGTCATGAATTTTTTTACTGTGTCCGGAATGTGAAATGTTGTCTGTCAATGTAGTATGATTAAAATTGTCGGTACTGGTACATATCATGTCATGCTGCTATTTCATTTCTTTTGAAAACAGTTATGTAAATCATTAATGTTTACCTTTTATACATTCATAGTCCAGGTATATTTTAATCTCTATTAGTTATGTCTAATACATGAATACTCTTTTCTTTAAAAATGTGTATTTTAGTGAAGTTGGACTATTAAATATGATATTTAAGAGTTGTATACTCTTTTTGTTTCAAATATATAAATATTTATACCTTAATAATCATTATTTTTCATGAAATTGAATGTAAAGAGTATTTGAGTTGTGATTCCATTGATAGATCATAAACAAATGATAATTATGCTTTCGAGTATTTGACACCAGAATTCTTGAGTTGTCTTAAAACTTCTGGTTTACCTAACCATTCATTGAAATTGAAAATTGGTACAACCATCATGTTGATAAGGAATTTGGATCAATCAGAAGGGCTTTGCAATGGTACAAGGTTGACAGTTACTAAGTTAGCCAACTATGTAATACAAGCAAAGATAATTTCAGGTACAAATATCGGAAACACTATTTACATACCACAAATGTCTTTGTCTCCTTCTCAATCTCCATGGCCATTTAAACTTATCAGAAGACAATTCCCAATTATAGTGTCATTTGCTATGACAATCAACAAATCTCAAAGGCAATCATTGGATTATGTTGGTTTATATTTGCCCAAGAATGTTTTCAGTCACGGACAACTCTATGTTGCTATTTCAAGAGTTAAGAGTAAAGGTGGATTGAAAATATTAATACATGACAAAGACAACAACTTCTTAAATCAAATAACAAATGTTGTCTTCAAAGAAGTTTTTCACAACGTCATCTAGGTACATTTTTACTATTTCTTTAAACTATTAACTTTATTGATAAAATTCTCTTTTTTGATTTGCTATATTTCCTAACACCTACATTTCTTTATTAAGCTTTCACACACTATCATTTTTGAAGAAATAATACAAATGTCACCATGCAAATGTAAGTCATTTTTTCAAGGTCAAAATAATATTTTCTCTTTTCTAATTAGAACATTTCTCTAATTCTGATTTTATTTATCATGTTCGTAGGTTATGTAATCTCTTCCATTGCTTCTAACAAGGCTTCCTGTATTATTAGAATAAAAGATTTATTATTATTATTTTTATTCTATGTTGAACATATTACAATTGTGTTACGCACTGTCAATATATTTTAAAACAGTTGAATATTTTCACAATTAATACGGTGAAATTATGATCATTTTGATTTTTTTATTTCTATTTAACAAATGCTCTTATATTAAAAAATTAACTTTTTCGTAGATCCCGTGCAGACGCACGAGTCTTCTACCAGTTATTTCTCAAGATACGAGTTTTTTCTCTATTTTTCTCACCTGCATGATTACTATAAAAGATTGTTTCCTGCATGTTATGATATCAAACACTTTCAAAGTCTAAGGAGGATAGTAAAATTGAAATGCCAATAAAATTGTAAATGGAACACTTCTTTATCATTTGGAACACTAAATAACATTCTAAAGAGATATTTATAAGATAAATCATTTTTTCTAGATTTAGTTGCTGTACTTTTTGAATCATCCTCTCCAAGCTGATACAGTAATCTAACAATGAAACTAGCGATTCTGACTTTTTTTTATTTATTTTCCAAAGGGTCTGGATATTCCTAATATAGATGTTGATATTGAACCTCCTCGAGTGTGTAGCCGTGTGTATTGCCGATATAAATAATTATATGATATAATTTAAAAAATAGTAGTTATTACTACAAGTATGAATGACAATTATTTTAAAATAAAAAATTTCTTCTAAAATAATAATTATTTTAAAACAGAAAAAATATATTTTAATTTAAAAAAAAAACAAATCCTAACTATATCATAACACTGCATAGATATAAATTCAAAACATTTTCTCTATATATTGAAGGGTTGAAATTCTATTCGTATTAATTGTGTTTCCACTGCAAAACATTTTCTCTGTCATACTTATGACATTTTTATTTTTAATAGCATTAAAAAAAACTTTTGAGTTATTAAGATATTGTTGTGCATTGTCTTGATACTTTTGTTTCATTTGAGGCAAAAGGCTTCATACAAATCTGGGTGATAGGGCACATGTTTCATACAAGTTGAAAATATTGATTTAATTGTTGAAAATATTGATTTAATTGGTTAGATTAGATTTTTTTTTAATACAGATATAAATTTCTTTTTTGGATTTAGTTGAAGTAATTTTTGTCTCCTATCTTTGTGATCACTGTCTCTGCTATTTTTATTTAATAATTAAAAAAACAAATTGGTTCAAAAAGTATTTATATAAGAAAACAAAATTATAATCAAATCAATACAAAATATTTTATAAATATTTAAATAATATAATTTGATTTGAATATACGTAACAAATAATAATATTTTATTTAATACAATTAAAAATTAGTTTTAATAAAATTTTTATAAACATGTAAAACAAAAATTTATTTCTTGACTCTCTGATTAAAAGAAAGTGTATATAATTTTTACCTCTTCTCTCCCACTCTGATAATATGTTTTCCTTCATGGTAATAAATGAGATATAGAAGTTTATTGAGTCATGCTAATCAGTGCCCTCAGGGCATAGTTAATAATTTCAAATAAGAAAAATATGTTATATTTAGTTCACTTATTTTAAGCTAATTATAAATATAATATTTTAAAATCTCAAATATTTTTCCATCATCAGCTAAATGTTTTAAATATGTTTGAATGATTGGAAGACATTTATTGTTTTTAAA